CATTGTACAAGGTCAGTGGTCAGGGACAGAATCTCATATGTCATTAATCATTTGGAACTGTGAGTGATTTGTCTAGCTCTTCCAGCACTCTTTCCCACTTAAAACTCCAGACACATACTTGTATTCACAGACAATACCACTGCCATGACATACATGAATGGACAAGGGGGCACACAGTCATGCTGATTACAAACAGAAACCATAACCTTTTTCAGTTAGGCTGAGAGATACATTGTCAGTTCGAACCATGCATATCAAAGGGAAACTGAATTCCATGGCAGATTGCCTCAGCCACAGAAGAGCAGTCCAAGGGGTGTGATGTCTCCACCAGAGGGAGTTCAATGACATAATCAAGACTTTTGGGAAACTAATATGGGATTTCTTTGCATCCAGTTCCGACACCAAGACAAATAGCTTCTATAGAAGGAGCAGAGATCTTTGGGCCAGGAGAATTAACATCTTCTCCCACGTGTGGCCAAAGGCTCTTCTATTTGCATTCCCTCCTTTTCCCATGATAACATGCAAGATCCAACCATCACAGCAACAACAAGCTACAATGATTTTGACCACGCACCATTGGCCCAGACAACCTTGTTTTTTCAGACCTCAAGTTGCTGTCTGCAGCCCCTCCACTAATAAATCCACTACAATTCATTCCAGATTTATTATCACAGGGTAATCTGTTCCATGGCAACCCAGCATCTGGAATCTGACTGCCTGATTACTGAGTGGTCACATTAAAAAACACTGCAGAGGCAACACTATTGTCTTCCACAGCAGCAGCAATATTGTCCTCAGTGCCCATTTGATCAGCCTTTCCCTGTTCTGAGGCACCACACTACTCCAGAAAGAGGGATAGATCAGAAATCAGTTGGGCTTGGGGTTCAGCCAGTCCACATGACTTCCCCTGGCACCCTTCAAGTGCCCATTTTGACTCCTTGGTCAGAGTACTGTTCCAGTCATTGCTCCTCCCTCCTCATCTCTCCCCACTGGGGACAAGCTGGCCTGCTTTCACAGTGCTTGGGGCTCAGTCACCACTGACAGCTGGTTCCAAAGCACCATCAGTTTGGGTTATGCCATTCAGTTCCTCTCCACACCTGCTTCCCCTCCCTCCCTCTTCAGGAACCCCCTCTCATGAGATACTGTTCCTTGAGCAGGTCTGTTTTCTGCTGGCTTTAGGAGCAGTGGAGGAGGTTCCTCCAAAACACCAGGGTCATGGCTTCTACTCCGGATACCAAAATGCAAGGGAGGAGTAAGACCCATCCTCAACCTTCACAGCCTCAACAAATATATCAGGTACATGAGGTTCTCAATGGTCACTCTATCTACTGTTCTTCCTGCATTGTCTCAGAAAGACTGGTTTGCTGCTCTGGACCTTCAGGACAACTACTTTCATGTGGTGATTTTGCTGAGCCACAGAAAGTTCCTTTGATTTGTTGTGGCAGAACACCACTTTGAGTACACAGGTACTTCAAATTCGGCCTCTCTTCAGCCCCCATATTTTTACTGAATGCATGGTCGTTGTTATGGCGTATGTCAGGAAGAAGGGAATTCACATCTGAACAACTGAGAGGCAGATCCAGAGATGAAGTTTTTGCTCATGTTGGCACCATACTGTGCTTTCTCGACCATCTGGGTCTCAATCCTAAACACTGGAAAGTCAACCTTAGCCCACACTCAAAAACTGAGTTTATTGGGGTCCTGTTAGATTCCCTGTCTGAAGCTTTCCACCTCACCTGTCAGTTGGCTGTTTTGCATGCCTTTTCCCCAATCCTGATCATACCTCAAGCTCAAGGCAGATTGGGCCAGGCTCATTCTCATCGCCCCAGCATGGCCAAGACAGTGCTGGTTCTCCAACATTTTCGCACTCTCTATTCAGCCTCCCATACCACCGCTTCCTCCCTATCCCAACCTAGTCACTCAGAACCAACGCAGCACCTTGCATCCTTCACTCAGCTCCCTGCATCTCACAGTGTGTCTGCTGAATGAGGAGTAAGAGCAGTGTTCAGCAGCTGTCCAACAGGTCCTCCTTAACAGTAAAAAAGCATCCACTAGGATGGCCTATCCAGCAAAATGGAAATGATTTTCAGTGTGGTCATTAAGCCAACAGAAGCCAACCAATACTGGCCTCTATCTAGGACATTTTGGAATACCTGCTCCACCTTCAGTTGTTGGGGCTAGTGTTTAGTTCATTGAAAGTGCATCTGGCAGCGATATCAGCATTTTATCCCCTCATTCAGGGGGAAAAAAAATCAGTCTTCTCCAATGCCATGGTAACAAGATTCTTAAAAGGGTTCCTCTGTCTACATCCACCCAGTCTGAGAGCCAGTTCCTCTATGGGAACCTTAACACAGTCATAGCGTCCTTACTGGGATCTCTGCTCGAGCCCCTAGTGTCTTGTCCCGTTCTGTATTGTGTCAGAAAACTGCATTCCTGGCAGCGATAACCTCTGCAAAGAGTGTGAGAGAGTTGCAGACTCTTATAGCAGAGCCTCCTATACACAATTTTCCAAAGACAAGGTGACTCTATGATCCACCCACAATTTTTGTCTAAAGTGGTCTCTCAGTTTCATTTGAACCACATGGTATATTTACTTGTGTTCTCTTCTAAGCCGCACTCATCTCTGGAGAAGCAGCATCTCCATACCTTAGGTGTCCAGTGACGGACATCTTTTATTTGGACAGGACTAAATCGTTTCATGCTTTACCTCATTTGTTTGTGACATAGGCAGATCACATGAAAGGTCATGTGGTCTCTTTGCAGATGATCTCCAAATGGATAACATCCTGCATCAAAAATGCATATGAAATAGCCTCAGCTATGCCCCTTCAGCAGATGTGAGTTCATTCTACGAGGGAGTAAGCAACATCCATAGCACGCCTCAGTGACATTTCCATATTGGACATTTTCAGGGCTGCTGTGTGTCATTGATACATACATTCACAAACCATTACACCATAACCACATCTTCCAGGGCGGATGCAAGCTTTAGTACCATGGGCCTGTAGTCCTTATTTAGGTAGACTATGAGCGCTACTTCCTGGCGAGAGATACTACTTGTGAGTCACCTAAGTGGAATATACATCTGTATCTACTTGAAGAAGAAGAAACTGTTACTTACTGTAACGTGTTCTTTGAATCAGATGTGTATTCCACAACCCACCCTCCATCCCCTCTGCATCGGAATCTTGCGTCTGGGCATTTGGTGAGAAGGAACTGGGGGGGGGGGGGGGGGACGGACGGAGACACGACACTAAATCACATAACCAAAGGAGGAGTGATGGCCATGAGGTGCAAATGCCGCCCCTCTGTGGGTACTGCTAGGCAAATTTCTCTTGCTCAAATGTGCTGGTATTGCACACACCTAAGTGGAATACACATTGGCACCATATCTCAAAGAACCATAGTTAAAATAAGTCACCATTTCTTTCCTGACTCCCTTTCAGATAGTGGCATCTTTTACATTATGCTCTTATAACCCACCCAGAAATACTTCTAGTGAAAAATGAGGCTCATTGTATTCCCAGATACAAAAGGCTGTAATACCTATCACAAGTATCACTTTTAGCTGCTGGCAGTCCAAGGTTCAAACATCCTGCAGTTTTTCCTCAAGCCAGATGGACGAATACCTCAAACATTTTTTAAAAATACCTTGTTTGTATCAGCAAATATTCTACTGATTGTGTTTACAAGTAGATGTGTTTGCAGACAATGAATTTTACGTTATTATAGAATATTTGCAGAAATCAAATTTTGAATTTGCAGAAGAAACATGATTCTAGGAGTTATGCTGATCCAGTCAAGAAAGTTTGAATATCAGACATCAAATACTTACAATGAACTGGTAATTGTACAAGAATTACTTGTGAATTGATATATGGCTACAGACCAAGAGTTAGTCACAGACATTACTCCGTAAATACTTGTAAACAGGAAATGCATTTAAAATCATCAGCTGCTTAGGGACAGCTACACTCATTGAAAGAAGTAGTCTCAGCTCTACTCCCTCAGCTCTCAAACTACTCAAATGCAGGCCTGAAAGCCCATTAACCCAGACTAGTTCGTGTGGTTTTGATTCTAGTTCAACAGTTTCACTATTGGATGACTGATTTGTAATTTTACTGTTATCCATAAAATCTTCCTATTGCACAGACTCATGATAAGGATCTCTAGGATGAACTTAATATTTTCTTCTGACAGAAGACTGCAATCAGTTCTTATTTCCACCACGTTTTGGGATGAAAACTGAGAGCAGTGAAGTCTGAAATGTGAGTCGTGTCTACAGCACTGCTTTAGGCTAAAATCATGCTGTCCAGGGGATTCAAGTGTTATCAACAACAGAAAAGCATGTTTGCATTCCTCATACTAACTATTACTTGAAAGAACTAACATTTTAAATTATATTTAATTTAATTATATTTAAAAGTGGCTGCAATGCACTTTAAAAGATGCTTGTTGAAAAACTGAAGCATAACTGACAATTACATCAAGTCTGAACAAATACTCAATTTGCATTTTTAAAGCTCTCTCTCACTCTCTCACACACACACACACTTTAATAATAGTTGACTCTATTGAAATATCATACTCATATTGAGGGAAATAGCAATGGCTAGAGCAAGGCAAAATACAGCTAAGAAACATGTTATACTTCCTACTCTGAAGCTTCCTACATTGTTATACATATGCACTGCAGTACTAGCCTGGGCCACTCCTACCTTGGTAGAAATGCTATGCCTCTCATAAGCAGAGGGACCCATGCTAAATTTTGACAATGCTGCGTGGTGTTTTGTGGTGCTGACCTATCCCCACAGACAAAAACAAACAAAAACAAAACCCTTAGTCTAGCTGTTTAGGTAAAGACCAGCAAACTCATCTCACTTGTGACTTAAGAAAAGCAATGGCAAGAGTGATTAATGTAAACATTCTACAGTTTTCCAATTACACAACAGAACTAGTCTAATGTGTGAAATATGAGAAAAGAAAATAAAAAATTCCACCTCAACTTATAAGAAAGTAAGCTTGATGAGCTCTCTGAATGTTCATCTTCAAAACATTCTTCCCTTCCTTCGTACGTAAACTGGTTATACGGCAAGTACAGAGGTGTAGACTTAGCTGATGGAGACTGCGAGGCCTCAGTCTGTGATGTAGAAGGGCCCGGTTGCTGACTTTCATGCATTTTCACATCACTGTGGTCTGATACTTTAGACAGGATTCTATCAATGGTTTTATAATAAGGCCAGTCAGGTGCGACGGTTTCACTATCAGTCATGCATTTTAATTTCCTGTAAAGGCATACAAGAGAAAGGTCTGAAAACACAGAAACAAGCATTTCATACAGATCTTAAACTTCTATCTCAAAAATCTGTTTCAGTCACAAAAGATAACTCTGATCATTTGACAGGCAAACTGAAAATCCTTAATAAGAATAACATTAGACAGCAGTTTTTGGCCTTTGATATCAAGTGAGATCATCAGTTTATTTTCATGATTTTGTCCAGTGGTGAAAAGGTGCACGTTACTCCAAGTTGAGTTCAATACCAGTACTGAAAAATAACAGCTTCTACTAGCGAAGAGAATTCATTTAAATAATTTAATAATGAATACGCTTGTTATAACAGTGCTGGTTGCTCCCTCTTACAAAATGACAAATCTGATCAGGGTTTAAAACAGCATATTTTAATAAGAGTTACCAAACAGTAGATCGCGATCAACTGGTCGATCCTGGAGCCTCTGCCAGTCAACCATGATCTCCGGCCGCTAAATGTCCAGCGGCACAGCAGGGTTAAGGCAGGCTCCCTGCCTGCCCTGGCCCCATGCTGCTCCCAGAAGTAGTCAGCACACCCCTGAGGCCTTGGGGGAGGGAAGGGCAGGGGTCTCCACGCGCTGCTCCTGCCTACAAGCAGCACCCCCACAGCTCCCATTGGCCAGGAATGGGAGCTGTGGGGGCAGTGCTTGCAGAGAGTGCATGGAGCCATGTGCCTTCCCCCCAGAAGGGCCGCATGGGTGCGATGGCCACTTCTCGGAGTGGTGTAGGGCTGGGGCAGGCAGGGAGCCTGCCTTAGTCCTACTGCGCCACCGACCGGGAGCCGCCCGAGGTATGTGCTGCTCTGCGGGAACCTGTACCCTTCCCCTGAGCCCCCTCCCGGAGCCAGCACCCCATACCCACTCCTGCACCCTGAACCCCCTTCTGCACTCCAACCCCCTGCCCCAGACCTGAGCTTCCTCCCACAGCCAGCACCCCGTACCCTCTTCTGCATCCCAACACTCTGCCCCAGCCTGGAGCCCCCTCCTGTACTCAAACTTCCTCCCAGAATTGCACCCCTGACCCCCTCCTGCACCCCAACCCCCTGCCCCAGGCTCAGCCTAGAGCCCCCTCCCACACTCTGAACCCCTAAGCCCCAGCCCAGAGCTTACACCCCCTCTCACACCCCAACCCCCTGCCCCAGCCTGGTGACAGTGAGTAAGAGAGGAGACAGAGCAATGGAGGGACGGGAGGGTGAAGTGAGTGGGGCGGGGCCTCAGGGAAAGGGTGGGGTAGATCCTGAGTTGCACTTAAATTCAAAAAGTGATCTTGTGCCTAAAAAGGTTGGAGACTACTGAGCTAGTGAGAGTACCCCAGCCCCCTGTAAATGGAATTAGAACTGACCAACTATGTCATAGGCTTTACTCTAACAGATAATGGAAATTCTCCCTTAGGTGAAGTGGCAGGAGAATCTGGAGAAGGAGGATCTGAAGATGCTGGAAAGTTCTGAATGATTACGATGATTATCATAATGCCCAGAGTGGATATAAATCAATGGTTTTTTTTAAAATATATATATATATACACACACACAATTGAATATTATTTAAATCAGGTTTTTTTTAAAATAAATCTGTTTAAAATTAAATTTGAAATTATGACACCCTATGTCAAGACCTAAACTCACTATAATCCATTAAAATAATTTATATAAATAAAAAGATCAGTAAGCCCTCCTCAAATTTTAATGAATTAAAGAGTGCTGCTTTTTTAAATATATACAGAATTAGGGCAGAAACATCTTTAATTTCTGAGGTTAAAATCAAGCTTTAAAATGTGTGTCAATGTCATGTGCTGCATTACTAAGGATCCATATTGTTCTCAGTCTTTATAATGGACCGAATATTGGTATTTAGATTTTCCGAATTTTGTACTTTTAGATTCTGTTGTGCAGAAAAACTTTTGCTTTAATTATTTTTGGTTTCAGTTAAGATAGAAATCGGAGAGAGAATATTTCCTTCATTTGGACTAGTTCATTTAAAGTCGAGAAACTGACTGGAAGTTGAAAAGGCATAAATGCTTGTTTCTTCTTCCAATCTATTAAAAGCCAGGTGGGAGAAAATAAGATCCACTAATTCTAAAAACATGAAGAACATGAGGCCAGAGTTTCACAATTTTCAGATTTAGGCTCCTAAACATGCAGATAGCTGTCTAAAGGGTTTTTCAAAAATGCCTATGTTGATTATTTCTTTAATTCCTATTGATTTCAATGGGAATTGGGAACCTACCCTACTTATGCACTTTTGGAAACCCCACTAGGCATCTATCTACATCTTTAGGCATCTAAATACCTTTGAAAATCTGGCCCATGGTGACCAGAACCAATTTGTCTAATCACTAAATACACTTAATACTTCCTTAATTTAATAAATCAGTTGATTTTACATAGAAGCATAGAATCGTAGGACTGGAAGGGACCTCAGGAGGTCTCCTAGTCCAGTCCTCTGCACTCAAGGCTGGACTAAGTATTATCTAGACCATCCCTGACAGGAGTTTGTCTAACTTGCTCTTAAAAATCTCCAGTGATGGAGATTCCACAACTTCTGTAGGCAATTTATTCCAGTGCTTAACCACCCTGACAATTAGAAAGTTTCTCCTAATGTTAGAGGTTAAAGAACAATTTCTCACTTCTCCTTGTAATAACCTTTTATATACATGTAAACTGTTATGTCCCCCGTCAGTCTTCTCTTCTCCAGACTAAACAATCTTTTCAATCTTCCCCGATGTCATGTTTTCTAGACCTTTAATCATTTTTGTGGCTCTTATCTCTGGACTTTGTCCAATTTGTCCACATTTTTTCTGAAGTGTGGTGCCCAGAACTGGACACAATACTCCAGCGGAGGCCTAATCAGCACAGAGTAGAGCGGAAGAATAACTTCTTGTGTCTTGCTTACAATACTCCTGCAAATAAATCCCAGAATGGTGCTTGCTTTTTTTGCAACAGTGTTACACTGTTGACTCATATGTTGCTTGTGATCCACTATGACCCCCAGATCACTTTCCGCAGTACTCCTCCCTAGGCAGTCATTTCTCATTTTGTATATGTGCAAATGATTGTTCCTTCTTGCATTTGTCCTTATTGAATTTCTTCCTGTTTACTTCAGACCAACCTGAAAAACATGTTTCCTGTACATTTAAAGTTTTTAACTAATAAAAAATTTTAAAATGCTGCTTTTGTATATTTTTAATTGAATTCCAAGCTGGTTCTGCCAAACAGAAAGAGATTTCCACCTTCCGGAAACAGGAAGAGTACTGGGCTTGGATAGCTGATACAGTCCTTTTATTGGGGAATACCACAACACATTTTTTCCTGGGTCCATCTGCTGGTAGGAAGATATAACACCTACTGCTTCAGCTGCCACTAGGACCATTAGAGGAAAATAAACTTTAACAACATGATAACAATGGTGACAAATAGAGATGTGAATGTGGAAAGATTGAAGTTCTTCCTTTCCAATGGTCCAGCATGTGGCTCGCAAACTAGGGTGAAGTGACAACTACTGGTGGGACAGAAGTTAGGAACAACAAATTAGTTTGTTTGAGTTTTTAAGTAGTTTGTGTTCTTCTCTGAACTTTCAAAGTCTGATGAGGTTTTCCAGCTACTGGTGAGCTGCATATTATAGCAATGCATAGCAAAGCCTGCACAGCACAGTCTGTGTTCTTATTCTCTCTATGCATTCCAAATTTTAATTTCATACATGCTTTACAAACTGCTGCTGTGATTTCACAATCAGATCAGATCACTGACAATATTATAGCTTCTTTGTTACAGAATACCTAACTATAGGACTGACTGTAAATGATCAACTTAATATCAAATACTTTTTGTTTAGTTTTTAAAATTCTTTGCAATAAAAGTATTTTTCTTCTATTGCTATACATTGCTAGGTACACACTGAACACCGCTACATACTTCACAAGGGTTTCCCCATGCAAGTTACAGCAGCTCAGTACTATGTATTGGCAAGGCCTCATGTGCTCAGATTTCATTGTTTTAATGCAGAAAATCTCAAATTGTATTATCAATAAACTCACAATCTTAACACTAAATAAAGACTATAATGATAATTAAAATCTGGGTTTTCAGTGGGAGCTGCTGTTTATTGAGCTTCAAAGTCTAAATTAGGAACACCGGGCTCTTTTTGACTGAGTAGAAACTTTTAAGGGTAGGACTATCCTGTTCTGAATCAGATTCAGTAGAATCTTTGCCAACTATGGCTCTGCTTTCAGATGTCATCAGTCTCTTTGTCTCTACAACAAGAAAAGGAGTACTTGTGGCACCTTCATCGGATGCTGTAGCTCACGAAAGCTCATGCTCAAATAAATTGGTTAGTCTCTAAGGTGCCACAAGTACTCCTTTTCTTTTTGCGAATACAGACTAACACGGCTGTTACTCTGAAACCTGTCTCTACAACAGCACTCAAATTACTCCCCCTGTATCTCAGTCATCCATTATTATGATTTTGAGCTAAATCTCATATCCTTACTCCAGCAAAATTCCCATTAAAGGGAGCAGGAGTTTTGCTTGAATAAATGTGTCAGGATTTTATTCTTTATGCTTAAGTTCAGCTGTGCACCATGGCCCTCCCTTTATGTAGTACTATCACACTTTTGAAAAAATATCCGCAGATTTGTCCATCAGCTGCTAGAGGATGCTATTATTCAGAACTAGAGGGTGTCCGAACACTCCTCTTGCTCTAAATGCAGTGTGTGGATTTCTGTCTTGCTGCTTTTGCTGCTTACTACAGCAACAGACTGGGAATATTGATCCCCACTGCAAACTGGGCAGAAGCACTCTGCTGACTTAAAAGGGGCAACAGTGAAGCTGATGGAGTCTGGACTCTGGGGTGGAGAAAGACAAAAGGGATGATACAGAGGGGAGAGGAAAAGATAGGGAGGGGGAGTTCAGAACAATGGAAAAAAAGTGGGAACATGGCAGATAGAGGCAAACAAAGGTCATACTGGGTGAAACAATATCCA